TTGAGGCAACCAATAAGAACATAAAAAAGATTTTAGAGAAAATGATCGAGACTTACAAAGATTGGCATGAGAAGTTATCATTTGCATTATATGCATATTGAACGTCAATTCGCACCTCTACTGGGGCAACCCCATTTTTTTTGGTTTATGGGATGGAAGCTATACTACCAGTAAAAGTAGAGATCCCCTCCTTGAGGGTTCTAAAAGAAGTTGAGTTGAAAGAAGTTGAATGGATTCGAGAACACTATGAGCATTAAATTTCATAGAAGAAAAGAGATTGACTGCACTATGTCATAGTCAGCTATATCAAAGAAGAATGATGAGGGCTCATGATAAGAAGATTCGACCTTGTTGCTTTCAAGAAGGATAGTTGGTCTTAAAAAAAATTCTCTCAATCTAGCACGATAGTGAGGAAAATGGACTCTGAATTGGGAAGGACCATATATGGTGAGACGAGCTTTTTCGAGTAGAACGCTGATACTGACTAAGATGGATGAAAATGATTTATCCCATCTTATAAATTATGATGCTGTGAAAAAATACTATGCTTGAAAAAAATAAAAAAAATTAAAAAATGAAAAAAGAAAAAAAGTGAATGAAAAAGAAAGACTCAAGGCGAAAATCCTAAAAGGGCGGTTTGAGTCACAGGAGGTTTGTCTAAGTTGAAAACCTAAAAAGGTAGCTTAGATAAGAAGAATATGGCATTGAATTTGAAAGTTCATCGGCATGGAAACTAGCAAATTCGGAGGAGCTCCAAGTTGTTAAATATATTAGAGGGTTGGGTTTTCAGAAAAACTTTGAGATATGTTATCATAATCATCCGATTGTTCATTTTTGGGCTTTGTCCCCACACTTATCTTTGTAATTCTTTCTTGGCCAAAGTTTGTCAACATTTTGCTAATAAAAAATATTCTATTTCACTCTTTGTGTCTTTTTCTGATGACTATTTCTCAACCATTCATATTTCTTTCTTCCTAATACCCCACCATGGAAGAAATGTGCAAATGCATTCTTACTTTTTGAGTTTGAAATAATGATTGATGAATGAATAATAACATGAAAGATTTTTACATTACATTGAATAAGTCAAGAGTGATAAAGGCAGAATCGAGATGTTCAGTTCTTGATTAAGACATTGAATTTGAGAAGAGATTTCTCACAGAAAGAATGTGAGTGGAAGAGACAATTAAGAGCTACACTAGCTCGATCTTAGAATAGCAGCGTAATCTGGTTTTTGAAGAATCAAAGGCTTTGATGCCCAAGAAAAGAGCTTGAAAAACTTGAGTACCATACATTGAATAGGAAGTAATTGGCTAATATTTGCATAGCATGCATTGAAATTCATATGCATTGCATAGCATATACTACTTTCAGAAAAGTATAATGTATAAATTCAAGAAGCAGGGGTGTTCCAACATCCCACATAGAGAAGACAGATGTGAAGATATTCTCAAATTTAAGAAAAAACTTGTCAGGTAAGTTCTTAATCCTTGAAATAGGATGTCTTTTGGTATCAGGATTAATTTATAAGACCTTTGGGCATAATCTCTTGAAATTCTTTCAAACATAATTTTCAACTCCTTTGGACATGATTGTCAAAGAGTAATTTACTTTCCAAAAGTTGTGGTGCCTCTGTTTAGAGGAGCAATTTACTTTTCAAAGTCATGGTGCCTCTGTTTAGAGGAGCAATTTATTTTTCAAAGTTGTTGAGCCTCTGATTAGAGGAGACATTTATGTTTCTCAAAGTCGTTGAGCTTCTGCTTAGAGGAGCTTTGATCAAATTAAAAAAAAATAAAAAAAACAAAAAAAAATAAAAAAACAAAAAAATTACCTCTGATTAGAGGAGCATTGTTTATTCATTTTCAAAGTCGTTGAGCCTCTGATTAGAGAAGGATTTATTTATGTTTCTCAAAGTCGTTGAGCCTCTGCTTAGAGAAGTTTTGATCAAATCTTAAAAAAAATAAAAAGTGTCGAGTTTAGTCTTGATTGGGTGTCTACGTCTTTGTGCAATTTCTGTTTCACAGAAAATGTGTAAAGAGGGGCAGCTATAGACACCCAATTTGCTCCAGGCCCGGATCAATTGGGCCTGGTCCAAATGGGTAAGCCCAATTTTACTTTTATTTTGTATTTTATATATTTTATTATTTTTATTTTATATTTTTTCTTTTGTATCTTATGTATTTATTATTTATTTATTTATTATTACTATGTATTAATATATGTATATCTTTATTATTTTTTTTCTTTTTCTTTCTTTTCTGTTAATATTTATATATGTATTTTATTTATCTAGTTATATATTTATTATTATTTATTCATTTATATATTATGATTTATCTATTATTATTATTTTTTATTTATCTTGTAATATTTTTTATTTATCTTATTATTTTTTTTCTAATTATCTATTAATATTTTTTTATTTATTTTATTTATTTGATTTTTTTTTTTGGGGGCTGAGATTAAATTTTTTTTTAAGAATCCTACCGTGAATGAGGATTCAATTAGAATCCAGATTTGATTCAAAGATTGAATTCCCGTCCAAAAAGGAATAGGGATTGATCAGAAACTCTTCTAATCAATCCCTATAAATAGGTACTGGAACAGAAGGAAAAATAGACAAAAAACATAAGGAAAAAGAGTACTGGTTGAAAGAAAAAGGCAGACAGAGGAGATTTGAAAGCTGGAAAAGGGTTTAGAGGTGTTAAAATAGCTTTAGGAATCGTTGGAAAATTTTTGAAGATTTTTCTACGAATTTTTTCTGAAAATTTTTGGAAAATTTTCAGATTCCGATTGAATTTTTTGACGAAAGTTAAATTTTTCGGTGACAATTTCGATCAGGTTTGAAGTTTCTGACCAGCTGCCCAGTTTTCGATAAAGATTCCCAGAAACCGATTAACTTTTCGATGAACTTCCGGTGAAAAACCCAGATTTCGACGAATTTTTCAAAATTCGATGAATATTCAACTGGAGTTCTTCAAAAATTTTAGAGAGAAGGAGGAGAAAAGGAAGAAACAGAGAGGGAGGAGGCTCGATCTGCTGAAAAAATGAAGGAATTAGCCTTATATACCCTTTCAAAACGATGCCGTTTTTACGTTAAGTAACCCAGAGGATCTGTGCATTTTGTCTAGATTCGACCCGACCTGAGCGTCGACCCGCGCGTGTCTCGCCTCTTCGAGCCGTTAGCCGAGCTGAGTCGACACCTCTGAGCCACTTCTCCGAGTCGTTTTTCTTTCTTAAGCCGAGTCGAGCTGAACCGTTAACCGAGCCATTCCAGGTTTTTTTTCCTTTTTTTTTATATATTTTTTCTTTTTATATATATTTTTATTATTAGATTAAGTTTATTTAATATTCTTTTATTTTTATTTTTGTTTTACTTTTCTTTATTTTTTTTATTTTTTATTTTCATTTTTATTTTGTTTTATTATTTTATTTTCTTTAAATAAAATCCAAAAAAAATATTTTTGGGGAAAAGTTGAAAGTATCAATTTTTCTTTAAAATAAATTTTCAAAAAAAAGTTTTTGAGGAAAAGTTGAAAGTATCAATTTTTCTTAAAAATAAATTTTTAAAAAAAGTTTTTGAGGAAAAGTTGAAAGTATCAATTTTCCTTAAAAATAAACTGTCTAAAAATATTTTTGGAGAAAAGTTAAAAGTATTAATTTTTCTTAAAAATAAAATTTTTAAAACGGTTTTTGAGGAAAAGTTGAAAGTATCAATTTTTCTCGAAATTAAAGTTTTCAAAAAATATTTTTTGAGAAAAATTAAAAGCATCAAATTTTCTTAAAATTAAATTTTCAAAAAAAGTTTTTTGAAGAAAAGTTGAAAGTATCAATTTTCTTCGAATTTAAAGTTTCAAAAGATATTTTGGGGAAAAGTTGAAAGTATCAATTTTTTTCACACAAAAATAATTATTCATTTCTTCCTTTTTATTTTGTAATGGGAAATAATCCGACGATGGAGCCTCTGCAAGTAAAACAATATTTTTCTTGCATACTCCTGAGGTGAGAAAATTTTCTCAAATTTCTGCTAAAAGTATTAGAGTCAATTGAGAATAATTTTCAATAATTAATCACTTGGTAAATTTTTATAGCTCATTGGAAAACACAAATTTAAGTTGGTACCATATTTTGATGGGCGTTGTGAGGGTGCTATAACCTTCCTCACACGTAATCGAACTCTCGAACCCTGTTGTGGTTAGTAGACCTGAATATATTCTTTTAGGGACCCTTAAACTTAGGTGTTCCCTGAAAAGATAGATTCCTTAGATAGCCAATTGCACATAGATAAAAAAGACTGGTGGCGACTCCCTTAAGTCAATATCTAACGATAAATCTCCAGATCTAGACGTTATGACAAACATTATAATAAAAACAATTATTAATTTTAATTATTTAAATATTGATTCTTAATTTTTTATCAAAAAAGAAAAAAAATGATAGCAAAATTTTTAGTATTTAACAAATAAGTTGAAGAAAATTTTTTTTAATGAAAATAAGGAATTTTATAATATTTAAAAATTTACAAAAATTTAGGCTTATCGTAGATAAATAATATCATTTATAATATATTATGTATAAATTATCATTTAATTATAACTTAAAATTTATAAATATATGATTATATATTAAATAAATAATCAAGAAATAAATTTAAAATTATAAAAAAATTTAATAAAAAATTTGTACATTATACGGTTTAAAAAAACTAGTTTTATTATATTTTAATTAAAATTTTGATTGATTAAATTAAATTAATTTTTGAATCGGGTTAATCCAAAATTAAAATTTTTTAAAATTATTTTTAATAATCAATTAAAATTAATTTAACAAATAATTAATTAAACAAATTAAATCAACTCTGTTCAAACTAAATTTTGAACTCGCTTGAAATAAAGATCTATACTAGTACGTTTTAATTTTTATCAAAGGAAAAAGCGTAAATTTGCGTGCCCACTGGGCCTCTCCGGCACTCCTTTGGTGAGGTTTGGCGCCAAATTGAATACTCTTTCACCAATAATCAAGTGCCACGTTACCAAAAAGACAGGAACTTAGTGTATACTATCACAGTGGATTAGTGGTTGATATATTAAAAGCCCGAGTCCAAATCCGAAGGTTGAAAGTGGAAACCCAAGAAAATCCAAAGAGAGTCCCCACTCTCCAGTTTAAGTATTTTCAATTTTCAAATCCACCGCTTCAAAGCTTTTTTACATCACACAAAGGAGAGAGAGACAAACACAAAATACAACCATTTTCTACTGTGCTCGCTCTCTCTCTCTATCTTGCAATGCCAGCGACTGATGCAGACTTGGATCTTCGATTAATGGTAATTTCTTCTCAAATCCTAACCAAAACGAACTCTCCGTTTCGCTCTCTTTCTTTTTTTTTTTTTTCTGTGACTAACTCTCTTTGTTTTTTTTTTTTTTTCCCACAGCAGCCTACTCACTCCGCCATCTCCATCGGGTCAGTTCGTTTTTCTACCATAATTTCTGTCTTTTTAAAATTTTATTTTTTAAAAAATATATATTTATTTTTTGTATGGTTGGTGTTTCAGAGAGTATACATTTGCGGATGCTGGAAACATAGAGCACTGTGCAAAGTACTTGAACCAGACGCTTGTTACCTACGGCTTTCCTGCTTCTCTCGATCTCTTTGCCAATGATCCGGTGCGTTCCCTTTTTTTCTTAAAAAGTTTATTTTTTATTTTTTCATGATCGAGAGTTGAGGATTATATATATATATATATATGTATATATTAATGTGATTGATAGGTTTCGATCGCGAGGACTTGCAATTGTATATATTCATTGCTGCAGCAGAGGCAACGCGACATTGAATTTAGAGACTCTGCTAATGAGCAGAGACAACGGTAATCTTTTCTTTTTTTTTTAATTTTATTTTTTTCCCATTTGATGCTTTTCAATTTGTCTTAGTAATTTATTTTGGGCCTCGAAGTTGCTTGCCTTTTGTGGAGGCTTCAATTATTTTTGTGGAATGAAAACTTATAAATTTATATTTATTTCTTTATTTAATTTACTTTGAGCTTAGTTTAATGCATTTCTTTCTCAACCCATTTTTTTAATTTTGATCCGAATGTGTTCAGTTTTTTTAATTAATTTTATATCAGTATAGCAAGATTAAGTTAGTACTGGTTTTGAATTCTATGCAGAATTTAATGAATTGTTGTGAGTGTTAATCGTTGTTTTCCTTTCCTCTTTTTTCTTTTCCTTTCTTTTTTTTTTTGCCTTTTTTTCCATGTAGATTATTATCGGATATATCAAGATTAGAGGCTAAAGTTGAGCGGCTTGATGCACAGTTGCAAGCTAAAGATAGAGAGATAGCAACAATTACCAGAACGGTTTGAAACTTCTCATTTCCATCTTGGTTATTTTTATTTTTATTTTTATATTGGGTTTGGTTAATTTTAATTCATATTCAAATTAAGGAAATTTATGGTAGTGCTTTATGATTTAGGAAGCCAAAAGTACAGCAGCTTTTAAAGCACAGATTGAGAAGCTACAGCAAGAAAGGGAAGAATTTCAGAGGATGGTGATCGGTAATCAGGTTAGGCATATTCCACTTGTTCGGAATTCAATTTATGTTTTTTGTTACAATATTGAAAGATGTATAGTTCTTGACAATTATTATTTTTACTTGATCCTACAAAAGCAAGTGAAAACTCAACAAATACACGAGATGAAGAAGAAGGAGAAGGAGTACATAAAGCTGCAGGTAGGATCTTGTTTAGTTATTTATTTATTGATCATTTGAGGAGAAAATAGTACATATAAGCACAAGATTTAATTTGTGTTTCTCTTGCAGGAGAGATTGAATCAAGTCTTAATGGAGAAGAAGAAGGAATCAAGATCAGGAATGGACATAATGAATTTGCTTCAGGTATTACTTACTCTAGTGCCAATTTTACTGCTGAGTGAACCTAAATTTAATGCCGCTGACAAATTTTATGATACATGCAAACAGAAAGAAGGGCGGCAACGTGGGACTTGGAATGGGAAGAAGGCGGACAATGATTTCTATAAAAAGATTGTATGAAGAGTGATTGAGTTATTATGAATCTGTGACCTCCTTTAGATTATGTCTAACAAAGTGCGATCTTTCAGGTGGATGCTTATGAGGCAAAAAATCAAGAATTAATGGCAGAAAATGCTGATTTAAGAGCACTATTGCGATCAATGCAGGTATATTCTTATGATGTTATCCCCTATTCCCCTATTGCCTTCCGCTAATCAGATTTGGCTGCAGAGTAAATTAGGATTATATGGGAAAGTAACTTATTTCCCAGATATGGTGTAAAACTTTTTTTGTAGCGTGGAAAGATTAAACTTGCTTAAGCTTGAATTCATAGCTTGGAAATATGAAGCTGGATTCACTTATTTCTTTTCTGTGCTTTACTAATTGCCAATGATGCGAAATTATTTAAGATGTCTTGTTGCAACATAATGGTCCCATACGGCTCCTAATATCAGTTTGAGAGTAACAATGCAATTGTGCAAATGTCTGTTCTATTAACATAGTAATTCGGTGCTTCTGTCAGTTTGCTTCTCCGAATTTTTACTTGTCTTTTCTTTCTCTCTTTACCTGTTTTCAGTGAAATTGTTAATTTCATTTCGTCATTTTTTGAGGCTCTTTGACTGTTGGATTAATTTATGAGATAACATTGCCCTCAGAATATGTAAATTTGATACATCTAAAAGGACTTGGGTGGTTACATAGATGTGGCACAAGAAACATGAAAGGGAGAAAAGAGAGATCTGGTTGTTCCTTCGTTGGTCAATGGTTTTAGTGATCAGTACTGTCCTGTAGAATATATGTTTGATATTCAATGCTGATGGTAGAACTCAGTGCCCAGAGTATTGCTTGCAAATAGCACCGCAAGCTGTAATCTGGTCTCCTGTCTGTAATGGATGAGTGACAAGCCAATAAATCTTGAATGGGACAAAGACTTTTACATTCTATAATCTCTGGACACTTGCTATGTTCTAACATGTAAATATTATATTGTAAGGAAGAAAAAGGCTTCAGAAAGGTAATGTGCCATAAAAGTCTTTCTCAAATGTTAACATTTTGAAGTCAGAATTTGTCAAGTATCAATGCTTCAAAACGGTGATCTGCACTGTAAACCAAACTGTAGAAGATTGATCAGATTAATCATGTGTCTATACCTGTCTTGGCAGATTTATTGTTGTCTTGTCCTTTTGGATATGTCTATAGTGTTGGTGAAATGTATGTTTAGTTACATTATCATAGATCAAAGGACATTTGGCATATTAATATATTGCACAGAATTTTCTATGGAAGCAGCATCTTTTTGAGTTAGCAAAGCACAGTGTTCCGTTATTTGGGCTATGAACACAATATCCACACTGAAATAGAGTAGCGATCCCCATTTAGGAGTTGGGAATTATATGTGTTTGATGCTTCCCAAGAATAAGCATGAGACTGCAAATGTCTCACTTATCAGTTCCCTGGTACATCATTATTTTTGTGAGGGGAATAACAATTTTGTAGTGGGGAGTGTACTGCAACGAGGAGCTGTTATAAATGTGCTTCCACCAACACTTTATTATCATTTGTATGTTATTTGAACTTTCATCAAATATTATTTCTTGATGCTGGCTCCTGTTGTTCAATTTTCCTCTTTTAGTTTTTACCCTGTGAATTCTGATAGCAGCTTTGATTACAGGTAGATATGCGTGATTTCTTTAATGCTCCTAATGGGTTGCCAAAGCAATCTTTTCCTGTCAGCGAAAGACATGAAAATGATCCATCACAATCTCCATTGGGTGGGAGGACGGTATGATGCACTAAATGATGCAAAATTGCTAATTTCCAATGGTCAAATGCTGCTTCTAAGCTGCTGGGTTTATTGTTTACAGGATGTTTTTGATCTTCCTTTTCACATGGCTAGGGATCAAATAGAAGAAAGTCTTCGCACTAAGATGGCTTCTATAAAAGTAATTTCTCTTTCTCAATAAGTACATAATTATTACAAAATCATATACTAAGATAGATGTTAAAATGTTGACAATGTTTTTTTTCATTTCTTTGTTCCAAGGAGCACATGGTTCAATTACAACATGCGCAAAAAGGTGCAGAAGTCACTTCTGAAGCAACAGAGAGGGAGCTTGAGCTTGAAGCTCAACTTGTTGAAGCAAGAAGCATAATCCAGGAGCAGGTAGTGTACTTTCCAAGTTTGCCAGTTAGAAAACAGATGTAGTGTGCTAATGAGTTAATTTGTGCATTACATACATAATGTGGTCATGTTTTCCTAGCTGGTTAATCAAGCATTTTGCAATACTAGTCCTACATATTTAAGTAAACTTATGATAGATTTTGCTAGGATCTCAATTCAGCTTTTTCTTTTTTTTTTTTCACCCCTCATATTTCATAGAGCTAGGGTTTTAACTTTTGATGTATGCCAACATAATTGACATCCCTGCTATGTTATAATTGTGCAGATCAATTGTTTTAGTCCACACTTTGGTCCTAACGTTTTAAGACTAAACAGGATCTCTATTTGACTGTCAAGCATTCTGAATATATAGTCTAATAATGGAGTTATTTTTTTTTAATGTTAAAAGAGATTTTAAAAAATTGGCTAACCATTTTTATGTTACTTTGAATTCATTGAGCTACAAGTTTTCTTTCTATCTATTGCCTTTTTTATTTAACTTTTGCACACATACAACTAGATTCAGCAGTTAGTGGTATTTTTTCCCAAGTTCACTATTACTTTTTATTTTTTCATTATTTATTAATTTTGGATATAGATATAAATATGACAAGGGTCCTTATTGCAGGCATCGATTATGTCCAAACATCTTGCCAAGACGGAGAGACCAAGGTAGTTCCAACTTGTCACCCTGTGGAGCAGTATATGCTTTTAATTGTTTATGTAATCATGTGAGGAACTAAAAGTGGCCATTTGAAATTTGAACAGGGAATCTACTATGTCATCACCAGCTGAGGTATAACTCGATCTTTTCCTTCTTGAGAATTTGTCCAATGTGATTTTTTAAGCTTCCTTTTTCCATCAAATTGCTAGATTAACATCTTGATCTTAGTGAGGCACTCTTTTGATCTATTAGGTTTATCTTGTTGAGGCTTCCTTGACTGCATTTTGTGTAGCAGTAGCTTCAAATTGGCTTAAGATTGATCTAGGTGGTTTTCCTTTGGAGTCTAGGGATATTATTTTTCTAGTTTGGTCTGCAATGGTAAAAAATAAGAGGGCTAATGTAGAAATTTCAGATCTATGTTAAAAGTCAAAGCAGTAATAAAATATTGTTTGGATCCAAACTATAAAATGAAACTCCTCTTTAGGCACATGCCCCCCCCCCCCATAAAAAGAAAAAAAAAAACCCACTCCTAAACACCCCCTAAGGTGATGTTTGATATCATTTTCAAGGTCATTATGGTAATGAGACCACAAAGGTGATTTGATCACTAGTGATCATAAATTTCCATGTTTGGTGTAATAATAGAAATCATCAGTGATCTTAAATCATTGTGTTTGGCATTGTACGGAAACAAAAAAGGATTGAGCACAACATACCCAAAATAACCTTACAAAAAGGAAACAACAATTTTAATTTTTATTGAATGAACAATTATAAAATAACAATCCATAATTTTATAGATAACTATAAAGCATATTGATGAAAATAATTCCTTAAAAATATTTATTCAGAATTATAAAATGTGTTCCCATAAATCACATGTCACTTAAGTTGACATGAAATTGAACTAGTTAAATAAATTTATCGTCTTCTTTATAGCCAATAATTTGAGGTTTGCTTATTAAGATAAAAGTTGAAAGAGTTAATTACGCTTGGTACTTGAACTTTGTGAAAATGTATAAATTGGTACCTAAGGAATTAAAATGTAAAATTTCACCCTTGAACTTTCAAATTATGTATCATTTTAATTTAAATTTTAATATTGTTAACTTGTCTATACAGTATCTAATCAGTGTAATTTTGTTATATGTATATTATTTGTTAAATAAAATTGTTAAATATTTTGTAAAAACTTCATATGGACAAACAATAATTAATTAATCCTAGATAATTTTACGGTTCAGGTAAAAAATATATAGATTTTTTTAAAACTTATATATATATATATATATATATATATAAAGATGTTAATAGTATATGTGGTGAACACATAATTTGATAATATTTGTCAAACTTTACATACATAAGTTGATATGATTAGTGGGATTAGAGTTTGGGTTAACATAAGACATAATTTGTAAGTTCAGAGTGCAAATTATACATTTTAATTCTTTAGGCTCCAATTTAAATATTTTTTCAAAGTTCTAATGCCAAAAGTATAATTAACTCAATTTGAAAGGAAACATGTGTTCATTCCAGTTATTATCACGTCAAATCAATCATAAAAGAGTTTTGAAAATTATTTTCTTGTGGTAATAAAACTTTCTTATCCTTTTAGATGGGAATCAAATCACTATTTTAAGGCAATCGATCTTATCTCCCCAGGTGATCACTACCGCATAAGATTCTCAAATTACTATCAAACATGGTGATTTAATTATTAAGTGTAGATCATCTTGGTGTTCTGAGCAATCATCCCATACCAAAAGCTACCTAATAGTAAGAACCTTAAAATTCAAATGAACTTCTTTTGGGTGAATACATAGAGTCAGTTTTCTAGAAAATATGAAATAAACACTTGCAACAATAACAAGACAGGTATTTGAGCATCTCTATCTCACAGATATAGGATTCTTAATACTGATAAGTGCATTTGTGCATCTCTAAGGATTTGTCCATCTTTGGTACAAACAGTTAACATAATTAAAAGATATTAACTTCTGTATTTTCTTCTCCAAAGGGCCATTGAATGCAAGTTAATCCTGTATGCCTTACATAGTCACATAGGATATGACTTCCCTAGTGTGCATGATCATCATGTGCAGCCAATCACACACCATTGCAATCATCATGTGCTCCCAATTAAACTCCAAGCATCCTTGTTTGCCCACAACTTGATGTGAGACAATCCCCATTAAATCTTCCTGATTCTAGATGGTACTACTCTTTACGCCACTTTTATTTCAAAAAGTGGAGTTCATGTTTGAGGAACCCTACCTGCATTAATAATAACTCGAAGCAAGATTTCTCTAGTGTATATACTGGGCAAGCAGGAAATAATACAAAAGGTATTTTATTTCTTTCTGTCAGGGATTGGCATTTAGGAATTACATGAGAGATGTAGATGGGATTCTTGATAACTAGGCCTGTGTTATGTTCTTTTATATCTTTGTTCAAGTCCACCAGCCATTCTGTTATCTATCTACTCTCTCTCTACTGCCCATGGCCTAAATCAGTTTTATGCTTCTTCTTTGACCGGAATTCCTACTTGTTCATTTATTGGCCTATATATTATTAAGTTTTACCTTGAGAAGTGTCAAGCATACTTAACTTAGGAGATAGAATATAAAATATTAAGTGAATATAAGAAAAGCTGCTCATGTTAATCAGATTTGATGTTCTCAATCGTTAGGTTTCATATTGTTTGCGGTTTTAGTCATGCTGATTTTGTCTTAATTTTCAGGGGGTATAACTTAGGAAGCCTAATGTCCATGTCTGCATTTTCGGATTAAAGATCAACTGAAGTTGGTTGTTTTGAAAAGATGCACGGCAGTAAGCAAGCTAGTAAACTACTGAGTCCAATATTGTCTGTCTATTCGGTTTGTAGTAACTGTATTAAGGCTTTATTCTAAAGCTGTAGTGTTAATGTAATTATTGTGTTAGGTATCTTCAGCTGTATTTGTATGATGATTACAAATGCTTGGTGAGATTTCTCAATTCATTGTATCAAAAGAACAATGCCTATTGTCTATTGATAGTTTGATACACAAAAACACATATTCGCAAGAGCATTCATTCATGCATGATCAAACAACTGAACGCTACTTGGCAAGAAAAAAACTTGTAAGTAAATGCTCCCAAGTTGCAGAGCTTCAGGGTAGAAATGCTGAGCAATAGGTATTGTGCTTCACTTACGTCTTTGAAAGTAAGTTTTCAGAGTTCAATAGGAATGTAAATATGTAAACGTAATCGTCCCATAATTAAATGAAAGGTTGGTTTCTTTGGCATGTAAGTTTGCATTTTTTGCTGCAACATTTGGTATCGTATGTTTTCTTGTCAAATAAATCTTTTACTAACCGATGTTGTATGCATGATGCTTGAAGAGAATAGAAGGGCAGGTAATGGGTTAACTTATCATATACCAACAAGCACTAGCAGCTTAGGCTTAAAATTTAAGTCGAAGTTAGAGCAACCTAAGATTAGTATTACACAAAGTAAGAATGGTAAGATTTTCATTCCATCAATTATCTCTGTGTATCTTAAATTAGACAGTTATGCAATTGAGTGAAAAAAAATGTTTTTTTTTCAAAAAGTTGTATGTTAAAAGATATAGTATCTCTATTTTTATATTATATATAAAATGTTTGATTTAGTTAATGTCAAGTAAAACCAACTCAATTGATAAATTTTAAAAAATAATAATAAAATAAATCCATAGATATTTATATATGTTTTAAATTGTTTTTTAAACAAACACATATTAGAAAAACGTTCTCCACGTTTTAAATGCTGTAATTTTTCATCCCTATAAAAATAATTATTTTTTCAAAACTACTCAACCATCAAGTAGTTTCTTTCTTTTTTTTTAAATTAATAATTTTTCACTCACGTAATGAATGTGTCAATATTTAATACTAAAAAAGGCCAGGAGGTTTTTTTAGTTGATAGTTATTTTTCAAAATAAAAAGACATGAATATCTTTAATTTCATTTTATTTTCATATTTTAATTTGATTTTTTTGTAATTTTCACAACTGAATTGACATTGGTCTAATTTGTGACACCACTTCAGTCAAGCATTTTCATATATATATATATTAAAGCTAGAATAGGGCATGTAGGCCAGCTCGATCATAAGATCTTTCTTTGAGGATGGTAAGCATATATAGTTGTATTAAGCCATTCAAAGATGCAGTACTTCCAGTTGTATTAACCCCATCCTCTCTGGTTTCCGTATCAAGTAGCTGCGGATATCAATTGTCTTGGCTACTCAAGATTAACTGCTTCCCTCTGTTTATATCAAATTCGATTTTTGACCAATGCCACTTCTTTGTAGACCTTTTAGAAATATTTTTGAAAAATAAATAGAGAAAAAGTTATTAAACTCAAAGGAAGAATAATATAAACTTGTTTATATATACATTGTTATAATTATTATGTACATGAGAAAATTTTCAAAGCCATTAATTATCAAAATCAATATTTATTTTTATCTTTTGTACAAATTTTTTTTTTATTTCTATCTTAGGAAATTGATTTTCAATCAGAGATTATTTTAAGGTCAATTAAAGATTTGAAAAGATTTTTCGGGAATGAAATTCTCAATTTCTCATATCCAAAATCAATTGTTAATTGACTTTCCAATTATATCATTTAATCACTATAAATTCTTAATTCGCTTGTTTCAATTATTAGAAAGAACGGGAAAAAAAATGGATCATGAGAATAGCATAGCAGAAGGAAAAGCAAATTCTTTGTCTCAAGTTGATCGAACGTTCTTCAAAAAAATTCTTGCAAGAAAGTCATTCGTGGGGCAATCTATGCGAACTTTTCACACTGAAAATGTGGTGTCGGTTCCTTTTGATTGGGAAATGCAGCCTGGAACTCCCAAACATCCTCAAACTGAGATTGTCCCACCAATCAAGCCCCCTCCGGCTGTACATATGCAGACCCAAACCTTGGAGAGGCCCAGCTTTGTTTCCATGCATACGACGATGTCTTGCTTTTGGAAGAAATCTTGGAAGAACCATCGTCAGGGCAAGAAGATAGCTGAAGCTAAAGGCCATCGTCAAAGACATTATCATGGCAATAATACCTCCAAAAGTGTTGAGCTTTCGGATGTTAATGTCGATTACATGTCGTCATCTGATCACTCGAGATCTTCTTCATTAACATCAGTGTCTACCTCTTCTTCTTCCAACAGTACTAGTTCTTCATCTAATTCCTCAAGTGTCCGTAGCATTGCTAAGGGATTGATTAAACGGTCTTTCTAGCTAGTTTAAAATTATCCAGATTGTAAGTGTTAGGGTTGGCTTTCCTTAATTTCTAGTTTTAATAATCCTTAACAAGTTGTAGCATTTGGTGGATACTATGTTTAACTCATGGCTTCTGTATAAATTAAAAAAAAAAACCTTCATTGTAATAAAATCCCATGTCAAATTCGAAAGAGATAATCTTACTTCATGTTTTTCTATCATTAATTATTTCAGGTTACGTGGAGAAAATAATATATACTCTCTCATTTCATTAGTTTCATTTCACAAATTTCAAACATTCAAATTACTTTTAAGTTCTAACAGTGCTTGGATCATTAGAAGAACTAAGTTTTTAATCTTTATGTATTTTTTAACAAAAAAAGCTGCAACATGAGGATAAAAAAAAATTTACAGGTGATAAGGTTTGAATTTTAGACCTGTTGAGTATCATCATATTTTAAAATAATTACTATATAAATTAATTAAATTAAATCTTGATTTCTCTTTATTCCTTTCGTTATTATTAATTTCTACAAAATTCATTGTGATGGGAGAAAGTGTTTTTGGAACTTTGAAATATATATGCTGATTTCGGAGCTGAAGAGAGTTGAGTCTTTAGAATAGGAGCAATGCCAACCAATCAAGGTGAATGAAGATGGTTGTAAGGGATGTGGTTTTCCTTAAATTGAGTGTTGTTCTCCTTGGGTTTCTTTCCCGAAATGTCGCATTGGTGTAAAACCGAATATTACGCTATAGATATGGAGCTTAATGCCAGTCTTTTGCAAGGCAGCTTATAGTAGTGGAAAATGTATAGTTATTTTATTTAAAATAAGTATCCAATTAATTGTATGAAAATGGAAACCATAAAATTAGGGTGAAAAAAAGAAGTCAAACAATCTCAACGTGGATCAATGAAAATTGTGGTATTAATCGTAATAGCCAGTAAGAGATAAATGATGAGATCAAACATAATTGAGGGAATCACGTTTTACCTTTGGTTCTTTTCGGGTCTTAAGGCTATTTTACAGCCTTGCAATAGGGCTGCTAACTCTTTACTCTTTCCTAATATGTATACCAGTGTCATAATGTGCATTGCACCCTCCTATATTAAAATCCTTAAGAATAACACTCGACACTCCAAATCACAATATATTATCATCATCATCATCATCAACATCAACATCATTAGAGGCTGTCATAAATCTGGTTATGTTTAATCAAACTTGGGTGGCATCTCCAATTAAGGTAGGTTCAGATCCGACTTGGCTAGGTTATCTATTTAAATTCGTTTATATTATTAATATTAAATATATTTTGAAATTAGAAAAAATTTCTTTTATTAAAAAAAATGATATCTTATTTAATCATGATTTGACACGATTCAATGTACATACTACAATTATGTATCTATATGTTTTTATAATTATATGTGTCAATAGTTTTGGGACCATTAAACGAAAAGTTTTAAAATTGAAAAAATTAAGAGGAGTTGGTACCAAATTTTTTTGTTAGGTGCTATTGGTCAACTGAAAATTTATTTTTTTAATAAAATGATAAAAATAAATTTAAAATTTATTAAAAAGATAATTTTGATCTACGAAAAAAAAATTGAGTTCAAGAATTAGTTACGCATGAAAAAAAATTAGCACTCTCACAATGCCTATAAAAATTGATACCAATTAATTATGCGTTTTTTTTTTTTTTATATTGGGTAAAATGATCTTTGTTTGAAATTTTACAATAGTTTCCTTCATTTTTGAAAAAAGAAAATAATTTTATTAAAATTTTTTATTTAGGAATATTAAAGAAATCTTTAAGTTAAAAAATTATCTTAAAATTCTTCAATATTTAGGCAAAATTTACAAATAACTCTTTTCACTTAAGATTTATCACGACATTTTTTAAAATGAAAATAACGTTATTTGTAGATGATAATTGATGGTGACCTTCTAACATCTAGGCAGAGTACCAAAAATTATTTTTTTTAAAATTTAGTTTTATTTAAAAATCTGTTTGTTGAATAATACATTTTATACAAAACATTTTTTGCAAAAAAAAAAATTGATGATACTATAATTAACTAAAAAATAGTAAAAGGCATAAACATGTGAAATGAATGCAAGTAATAATAAATAAATACATATATGCCAATGGATGGTATGCATGATGATGAAATATCGTTTTGAAATTGGGTTCTTAAATATAATGAGACCACCATAACTCTTCAATCTTTAGGCAGAGTTTAAGTGTGACTATTTATATTTAAGATCTTATTTTTTTATTTTTCTTTTATTTAATCTTATCATTATTGAGGGTTAAGGACTTGTACAAAAAAAAATTAATGAAATAAAATTTTCTAAATACTCTATATTCTAGCGACATTCAGAAACAAATTATTTCGTGTGAGATTTTCATACGTATCCTTAGAATTTTAGGATGGTTTTGGGTACGGATTTAGGTCGAGATTTTAAGCTTATAATGATTTTCAAATGATGATTTGGGGTTGTGAGTCGAATTTTAGGTTAGGGTTAAATTTAGTGTCTTGATGAATTTTTAGGATTTGGGGTCTTGTTTTAGGATCTAAAGTTCAGGATTTTAGGGTTTCGATATTTTAAGGTTTTGGAGTTCTAAGGTTTATGGTTTCAAAAAAAAATACTAACATCTTTAAAAATCTCTAACATCTAGGCAGATTTTTGAAGTAAGCTTGCTTTTCATAATCTTTTTTTTCTTAACAGTTTTATATTAATGTAATATGAAGTAAATAAATTATGCAAATGAAAACTAAAAAAATTAAAACAACTAATTTAATCAGTTTTTATATATATTTTATTCCTATTTACTTATTACCTTTTTTTTTCTAAAATTAAAAATGAAATAAATTTTATTTGTTATTTAATTTACTTATGAAAATTTTATTCTATATTTTAAGTTTAATTTAATTTAACTTAACTTAATTTTCTAATTTTTTATTCATCAATTCTCCAATTTTTAGACAAAACAAAATTTTTCAACAAAAACCGATTTTGAATTCCTTCCAATATCTATGTAGGATTTTCAAAATCTAATTATTTAAATTATTATTAAATAATTATGGAATTAAATAATTTAAAGTGCATGGAGAATAAATTGCACCAAAAATAAATTAAAATATG